TTCCATGGACTGAAATATTCCCTGTGCATTTATTTAGTCCTGCATGGAATCAGTGTTGAAGGTTGTGTATGCAGAACAAATGCCTAGTTAGTGTTTAAGTCCATGGGAGTTATACAGTTTGTTTGAGAGAAGACTTTGGTGATATGTTTAACTTCATTAGTTTACCCAAGGAAGCAAATATGATGCACGTTGTGTGAACCTGCGGAAAATGGAGGAAAACAGGGCAGTTAGAATTTGTTTTGTCTGCCACATGGATAAACATCTCCCTCCTTTCTGTGTTGACTTCTGCTGTCTTAATAAGTTTATTAGCTTACTCTGTTTAGTGTTCAAAACCAGTAACTTAAATAACAATTATCTTACAGGTCTTGTACAACAAACCAATTTTATAAATAAACAAACCCCAAGGAAACAGGGAGGAAAAAACTAAACCTCCAAGAAACAGGGAGAGTGTTAGTATCTCTTAGAAGGATAAATAAAATGGAAATTACGTTGTTTGTAGATTGCCTGCACGCAGTGGTATTTTTGTTAAGATTTTTGGGAATTCTCTTATCTGCTTCACTGTGCCTGAAACAGACTTTGGGCTGGTGTTAGTGTTTTTTCTCTTACGTTATTTCTAAATAAATGATCCAAATATTAAGAAATTCTGAGCTTCTAACAGGTTCTGATTAAATCAGATCATTTGTGACTGTTTAAAGTAAGGCTTTTTTTTCTGTTTTTTTGTTTGTTTTCAGTTCAGCCAGGTTCATTTAGGTAAACAAAGCACTTCCTTTCAGAAGTTTTAGTCTTTATATACTTTTTACACACTGACCTCATGTATTTATTCTATATATGAATGATGTTTTTGGAAAAAAAACCCAAACAAGCTGTTTTACAGACTCTGCCTAATTTGAAAAAGATGACTGTCAGAATGAAACATGAATATGATGCAGCTCCTGTTTACAAAAGTAGCAAACTAGCAAAACATGAGGAAAAACTGAGGGGAAAGAACAGAAAGGGATGTGGAGTGCTGACATGGAAAGGAGGAAGAGTGACCCTCCAACTACTCTTCTGAAAATCTAGCCTCACTTCAGTTGTTGCTCACTGTTAGAAAGGTGACAGATTGGAAGATACTTGGTACATAACAGTCATTATGAGGAAAATTTCTGATTTAAAGAATCTTTGATAGCAACTTCATAGGAGTTAGTACAGATGCAGAAATTGCAAGCTCTTGGCACACCTGAAAAGTTTGTGTTACTTTTCCTTACATTGTTTACTATACAGCTGTACCTAGTGAAATGGATTGCTGCCGCTTACAAACCTTGCCCTGCCAAATAACTAAAAAGAAAGAAAGAGCTAGAATTGTGGGGTGAATCAAGGGGGAAAATAGGTTGAATTTGTAGAGCTAATTATTACATGGCATAGTTGATCTCTCCCTTTTGCAGGCTATGTGATTCTATTAAAGAAATTACTTTAATGACTTGGCAAGGAAAATTCAATATGCATTTTGCTTGTTTCCCAGTGCAGGCTCAAATTCTTCCCATTTGGAAAGCGTGCTGTTCGATGGGTAGTTCGTGAAGGGAGAGGAGGAGGGACCTAGTGTCAGGAATCTCTGAATTTGTGGTGTTTCTGAGATGCTCTGGAATTCTTCAGCTGTCTGGTGTGGCTACCCGTAATTCCTTGACTGTATCCTAAGGCTGTGGTAGAATTAATTAGTGGCTACTGACTAACTTGGAAGTCAGAGGATGGAAGGACAGGAGGCAACCTGTGAGCCCTGTGGTTTGGCTCCTCTGCCCTGGGGAAGGATCAATTGTGCCTTAGTTGTTCCTGGGAGAGGTTTGGGGCCGGCCTCTGTGGTGCCAGGATCTCCTCAGGCCATGTGTTCCCGAACTTTGTTTGCCTTTCCACTAAGTAGTTTTTCCTACTAGCTAATTTGGATTGCTTCTGATTAAATTTGAATCCGCTGTTATTTGTGTGTTGGCTGTAGACATGGAGAACAATTTGCTGCAAAGAGAAAATGGACGGCTCTTCGTATTTATTTATGTAAACTGTTTGGAAGACTCATTATTGCCCCCTGTATTTTCCATTCCTTAACCTAAGCAGCTTCAATTTATTCAGTCTTTTGTGTAGATTATGCCATTAATCACATGACATCTTCTCTAAAGTTTCGTCTGTAGTTCCCATCTTTCTCAAAGTAAGAAAAGAGACCTTAATTAAAAATAAAAGGGCATAACCTGATTTGCTACTGAAAATTCCAATCTCATACCTAAGTAGTATTGAAGAATTTGTACATCAGTATAAGACATTATATGCTAACTTTTTTGTTAGTTTTACTATTATGTTCTTACATAACTAGCTAGATTAAATCTTCTTGTGCTACATGTAGAGTTCTTACTGTGAAGATTAAGGGGTGTGAAATTACTTTACATTGCATTCAGTAACTTAAAATATTTTTTTATCTGAAACAATTTCAGCTGCAATGAAGTTTGGCAACAAGAAAGTTCACAATGCAACAGGTCAACATTTGCCACGATTATATCAATTTCTATTTCTGCATAATGAAATATTTCTTATGTTACTGGTGATTTGAGTTGCTTGCAGATGAATAGATTTTAGTTGTTACCTGCATGATAGTCTTTGGATTTTAAAGAAAAAGATGTCCTGAACCATCACAGAAATGATTAAGAAATAGTCCAGGCAAGCAAAACCCAACTTGTCTGATAACAAAGGACTATTAGTTTTGTGTTATAAATTAAGTAAATTTTATTGCAAACCAGGGTCATACCAGAAGAGTTCTCTCTATGTAACCTTATAATTTTATGTCTGCGGTAGAGCTACATTACTGTAAGTATGAACAGTGAATATTCACTGAAAAAATCACAAACTGAAGAACAGCTTGTTTAGTTGGTCAGATTGTGAGCCAGTGGTGTTCTGTTATTGGATATGAAAGCAATGTTAACAGCCAGAAACCAAGACCTTGTTGCATGTTATTCATAATGTTGACATTATGCAGTATTAGGTTGTACAGGCTATTGAATTTAAAAGGATGATGCCAAATGGGGTACCCACAGAATAAAGACATATTAAATATAGAGACATCTGCTCCTGTTTTCATATAACACTGGAGAAATGGGTAACATATCACACCAATGCAGATGCTTTTTATTATTCACAAGTTACAATTAAATGCAGTTCTTTCTGTGGTTGGTGATGAAAGTGTGAGAGCAATCTCAGAGGAGGGACATGGTTCGGATTATGTAGACCACAACTGACTATTGCACAGCAGCACCACAAACCCCGCGCTGGCTTTGGCTTTGCGTATTGTAGTGGTGTGTTCAGCCCGTGTTTGCAAACCACCTTCCACCACGGCCTGCCAGGCCCGTGGCTGATGGGCAACATGTGCTCCAGGGCACAGGGCTTTGGGTTTGGTTAGTGACTGTGTGAGTTATCTGTCACTGCAGGCAAAGTACCTATATATTAATCTTTTGTTGTCATACAGTAATGTTTAAGGCAAAATTATTAATGGAAGTTATGTGTTTAGGAGGTTGTCCTTTGAAGAGGGAAAAGTGACAGACAGACAAGGCTGTCTTTCCAAGCCTAGTTTTGAGGTAGCTACACCCTTGAATAGGGCTGGAGAGGTATGGCAAGTATTTGTTGGTGGCAGTACCTTTTTTTGTCTCCTAATTGAATTGACGTGTATGTACTTGTTGGTACAAAGGTTATTCAGAATATAAATAAACTATTAAAAGATGCTAACTTAAAAGAACATTCTACGTAATAATAATTGTGAGAGTCAGGCATTGGAATCCTGCTTTGAAAGCTTGTGATTCAGCCAGTTGGACAAGGGAAGCCACAGAAAAACTGCGTGTTTAATGAAAATGGATCTAATTTCTGTGTGAGAAAGTTGAGCAGGCTGCCCAGTCTGAAACGCTGTGAAATCCTGACTGTATCTGGCTGCAGGAATGGGTGAAGCTTGGGGTGCAAGTCCACAGGAGATGGGGGTTGTATCTTCTAGGCTGTGCTGATTCCTTGCCAACCACAAGGTCAGGATATTTAAATATTTGGCTACATCTTGAGGGGTTAACTCTCCGTACAGTAATGGTCCCTGCCCTTCCTAATCCTTCCTACCTTCCTTCAAGAGAACTCCCCCCCCTTTGGGGCTCTTTTTTGTTTGCTTTCCCTGTGCTGCTGAATGGTGAGTGTGGGCTGACTGGCACTGAGCATCCCAGACCAACAATTTTTCCTGTCTTACAGGATTTTATGGGGATTTCTGTGACTGTAGGATTGGGTGGGTCATCTTGAATACCTCTTTTCTTTGAAGCATAAATATGGGAAAGTGAGGAACAGTGGTAACAAAAGAGTTAATTACTGCAGTATTTTTGGCTGGCTGGAAATCAGCCTGTCCTCTTACGCTATTGCTTTTCTAAAAAGTTCCACATTAGATGGGAGTTCCTGAAATATTATTGCAACCACTAGCAATCTCCGTTTTTGAGTCGTTAGAGTGGAAGAGAGCAGTCTGCATCTGTTGACCCAGGTCCATCATCAAAAATGACCTTACTTCCTGATTTTGCTAATATTATAACAGTTTTCAATCTCTACATTTCCAAGCTTTGCATTATGCAATGTTTTCCGTTGCTGAGAACTAAGGAAAATCTATTCCTATCTGGACAGTCAAAAAATACTTCTGTTTGGACTGGTTGATGGCTGTAGAATCCCAGAATTGCCTAGGTTGGAAGGGACCTTTCAGATCATCTAGTCCAACCGTCAGCCTAACGCTGACAGAAAGCCTCACTAAATCATGTTGCTCGTGTAGCAATGAACCATTTTGCAGTGTAGGAGACCTCCAGCTGCAAAAGGCAGCTGCTGGATGGGGAGTTAATAATACCCCTCAATAAGACAAGTTACTTCCTATGGCCTTCAGTTTCACTCGTGACTGCAGAGTGAATGGGGTAAAAAAGGTGTTAGTGCTCTCCTGGTATCACGGTGTGAATTCTTGTTCCTGAGTCAATCTGTTGTGTCTGCAGGTTCCCCAGAGGATAGAAGAGCAAAGCGATGCCCCTGAGGATAGCAGTGGGGGAATCCCGGGCATGTGGGGCAGCTGGGGCCCCTGGTCGGCCTGTTCTCGGAGCTGCAGCGGTGGGGTGATGGAGCAGACGCGGCCCTGCCTCCCAGCCTATTACCGGGAACGGGGCTACCGACGGCCGGGCCGGCAGTACCCGGCCTCCGAGAGGCCTCTGCCTCACCAGAGCGCCCGCCACCACGAGGACTCGCTGACTGCCTATCCTGGCCACGTCATTTCTGCCATCCGCACGTCTGTGCCGCTGCACAGGAACGAGGAGCAGCTTTGGGCCGGCCTTCGGGCCCCTGCTCCTTCTGGGGGCCGAAACAGCAGCCAGCTGAGCCGGGGGGCCATGAGAGGCAGCAGGCACTCCCAGAGGCAGAGCGCCAAGCCAGAAAAGAGGTACGTGTCTATGCGCGTGTGTTAGTCTTGCTGTGAGTGATGTGTCTTAAGAATGACATGTCAGATTAGAGTTGATATTTTTTAATACTTACGGAAAAGTTATTAAAGACTAAGACTGACTTTTACAATGTTTACCGTCTCCTGGGGAAGGCTACCCTCCCTGCTGACTACTTATATGACAATACACAAGGACAGATATAATTATTGTATGGTTGTACTAGGCAGATTATCTTATTTCCCTTTGAGGTTTGTTTTATGGTTTATTGAGATATTTTTCCTGTTCTGCTACATTTTGATTTGATGTTTCTATCTTCACCATAGAGATAAAAATCAGAACAAGTAACAGCTCTATAATTGTATTCTTAATTTCAACATCCATTTTGATTTTAATTGGTTGAAAAAAAGATTCATCAAGCCTTTTCATAGAGAACGCCCAGCTGTCCATTCACTTTCTTCTAGTCAAAACTCAAGCTTTATTTTGTATTTTTCAAAGAGTTTCTATTAATGTGCTTTTTGTTTTCTCTTTTCCCTTTTGTGTTTTCTACTATCTCTTTTAGCAATGTTTCCTGTTTGATGAAACTAAAACATGTGGCTGTTTAATACATAGAATATTTTAAACACCATATATGTTTGTTTCAGTTTCATATTATTAGCTGTTCAGTCTTTAAGGCTGGGTAGAACTGTGCTCTTAAAACTAATTGTTATAATTAATTGTTACAATTAATTCTCCAATTTCTGGAGAAACACTTTTTCCTCTTCTTACATGCCAATCTATTAAAATTTTTTATATATGTGTGAAAGGAAAATAGATGTGTTTACAGTTTGGAAACTGAGTAGAAATAAGCCTGGAGATGCCCTGGGAGGGACTGCTTCTGAAACATCTCTGTCCTCTCTGTCTTTCCTCAGAATATGTATTCCAATGGTTCTCTGGTTATTTCCCTCTCCGCTCTTTTCTGAGAGATTTTCTTTTGGGTAGTTAACAGAAAATGCGACTCAAACCAAACAAAAACAGAATCCCAAACCACCTTCTTCATATCATCTGTTTCTTTAAGATTCTTAGGTGAAGCAGTCAACTGTAATTCCTTTTTTAAAGACATCTTGCTGACCCAAACAACAACCAAAAAAAAGAATGTTACCTTGAGGCAATATTCCAGCCTGACTGGAACAGGACAGTAGGACACTCTGTTGCTGGTGATAAAGACATCCTCAGCCCCTGCAAGAAACTCTCTCCAGCTAAAAGGACACTTTAAATTAGAAATTAACCTGTTAGCTTCCTGTTTGTCTTGGCAAAGTGTAGATTTCAAAAAGCAGGGCCAGCTATTTAGATTTGATCTCCCTAGGTGTTGGCAATTTCCTTTAGTCACTGCTTTGTCTCTCTTTCAAACCCATGCAAACGGATAGTCCAGACCAAGCCAGTATAACTCTGATATGGCACTCATGATCTCATAAAAATTCAGAGAATGCCAGAGGGAGGCTTTTAGTAGCAGCATTAACATGACTGCATTGAGACAAAAGTCATATTTCCTTTTTTCTGTTTTCCTACTTAATCATGTACTATAACGCACGTCTGTTCTCAGCTACGCGGCGTCGTGGGTGCAGGTTGTAGTACGTGGCTGAGTTATTGCTAAACTGAAAGCCTGGCCTTGAACCATCTGCAGGGAGACTTTTGAAGCCTTTTGAAGGCTGCTCTCTCCAGTGCTTTGGCACCCTTTGCCTCCGAGGGAATCCCAGCTGGCTGCTGCCATCCCCGCCGGCTGTCCCTTGCTGCTCTGGTGGCCTCTGCAGGCCAGGAGAGACTGGAACAGTTTGAAAGAGTCGCTGCAGTTATTGCTGAAACAGGAGAGGATGATGAGCAGAAAATAAGATTGATGGAGTGAAGCTGTGTTATTTCCTAATAAATGCCTTGCCATATGAAATATTAAAATGATCGTAATGTCTGATGTGCCTCCACTTTCCTGTATGATGGAGGCCTTTGCTTTTGAAAGTTCCTGTGTTTTCCTAAGCACAGTGCAAGCTTCTGTACCACAGTTGATTTTCCACCCACACACACGCTGCCCCTTGGCAAAAGACTGTGGATTCAAGGTCAGAGTTTTAATCTTATTTGCGTAATAAGTTATTTCCATCTTGTGTTAGGAGGGTCCCTGGTGGCTTTTAAGCCTGTTGTATTGCATAACTTTCAGATTCTTTGGTGGTGACTGTGAAAACAGAATGAGATCAAAAAACATTATTTGAAAATGAAATTATTAGAATGACAAACCTGATTGTTTTCCTTAATTTACAAAACCCAGAGTACAAACCTTCTTTACCAAGGAGATTACTGGACCTATCAGATATATGGAAAAAGGATTTCAAAATGTAAATTACTCTATACATGATCTTTATACTGTAGAACAGTGATTGATGTTTACTAAGTGGGTGAAACTGGAAATTGGTGTCAGGCTCTTAGAAAAAAAAACCCAAGAACCCATCTGTGTTTTCACAATATGTAGTCACTGAAAACTTTTTGGAGTTTTCCTAATTACTGTACTGAACTTTATGTAAAAGCTATAATTTTAGCAGACTTCCATAAACAATAAAAGAGGACTGGACATTTGTGACTGAGATAAGCTCACATTTGATAGCATGGTAGGATGAAATTGGATGGCTTCCAAGGCAAATAATTTTGACAGCCATAGCAGTCCTTCAAAGCAGCCAAATATGTTTGTATCATTTAGCAATGAGTGGAAAAGTTCTCTACCTGCTTCCAGGCAGATGACAAAGAACTATTCAATTTCTTTAGCAAAATTCAAGATATAAATTATATATCAAGAATTTTGACATACCTTGTCTATGAAGAGGATATTCACATTTTCAGCTTTTGAAAGCTAGTTCACACGTCATTCAGTTAGGCTTTAGAAACCAGGGCTGCACACGAAGCTCAGGAAGCAAGATATTTGAGGTACCTACAACTAGAAGCCTAATTCAAAAGGTTTAAGTGCTCCCCTTTTTATCATAGTGCTCTAAGTAGAGTTCCTGCATAACTTAAATGTGTTATGAAATTAGTCAGTCACTGGAATGAGGTTGGAAACACAAAAAGAAAGCAGCTGGTTCTCTGGGTTGTCGCCTGGCAAAGGGAGGGAGCTGCTCTCACCTTTGAAGACTTGAGTTGCCATTAGCACAGCTGCCTCCTTTATTTCACCTAGATAAAATGCATGGTGCATGCCGTACGGTTAGAGCAAACAGGAATGAGGAGATAGTGGAAAAAATATGAAAGCATTTAGACATCTTTAGAGAGCACATACGGAAAAGTAATAAGGGCATGCAGAAGGATAACACGCTTTAAGAGAGACAACACATATCAAAAGGAAGTATCATTCATGGAGGTTTTTGTATTCCTTAAATATTGCATTTCTGATTCTCTGTTTTGGTGATAGAGGAGACAAAACTGCAGTTTTACATAGACACGCTGAGTGTTAGGATGCTTACACCTGCCACCTTCACTTTCTCTACAGGTGGACTTCCATGTTGGAGCAGCAAAATTTCTATTTCCACTTCCGTAAGCACAATGTGTACTTTGTGTGTGTTTCGTAGGAGCAGAAGGAAAAATCTACATTTATCACCAGAATAATGAAAAAATAAAGCAGGCTTGCTTAAATACTGCAAGTTTAAAGATATATGTTAATAAGGAAAGGACTTCCCTAAAACTCTTTTATGTATTTGGAAGAGGAATGAGAGGAAAGGTTTGTATTGAGGAAATAATCCATCACCTTCTATCCAGGGCTATGGCTCTGTGGTCTTTATTCTGCTGCCAGCAGCTGACGTGAACGTCTGCTGTTCGGCTTCGTACCCTGCATAGGGTCACTTTGCATCCCTGGGCCTGTGAGCAATGGAAAGGAAGATTGTATCATTTAATGTCAAAACAGAATTTCCTTTCCGAAAGTATTTCTTTTGCCCCTTCTCACAGATGCTTTGACCAGGCCAATGTAGGTCACTCAGCTGTCAGGTCTACAATTAACCTTCAAAGGGACAATTCAGTTGTTATTTTCTTAACCAATTTAGGCATCATTAGCTGCATGTTCTGAGTTTTTTGACCTGTTTTACTTAGTTCCAGTTTGCAGAGTTGCACAAACGTGTGATTGCTGGACCTTCAGGTTCAGGAAGGCATTGTTTTCTCAAGTTCTGAGGCTTTATATTTATTGGCATGGGTGTTTGCTTTTCTTAATATTTGGAATGAAACCCAGCTCAAGTACTTAGCCATCCTGCCTTTCATTATTTCTCCAGTAGAATGAAAATGTGATATCCCAAACCCAGTATGGCTGTAGAAACTTGTTGGGGGTTGGTGTGTGTGCAGGAAGAAGGCAGAGGGAGAAGGATTTGGTCCTTTTCTAAGGTTAAATTTTTCAGAAATCTAAAAGCAGTAGAAATCAAAGAATCCATTTTGATAGCACTTGGGGGATTTTAAGCCATATGAGAGATATGTTCATTTTCCTTCTGAATAAAGTTCCAAATAGGTTTGAATAGACCACTTGAAGTATTTCCTGGCAAAAGGAATAGCTAGCTGGAATGCTTGTGGCCTCATGATGACTTTGTGCTATCCTGCCTCTTATCTGGTTATTAATCCCCCTGATATGCTTTGGTTTAAGATAGTCCGCATTTATCTCTCTTATATTAATGAAATAAATGAAACCTGTTCCCAAGAGGCAGCTTACTTAATAACCTTATTCATTAATTCTACTGTCAGAAAAATGTAAATATTTCTTGCCCCTAATATTATAATGAAATTAGAGAAGCAGTGCCCCATTTTCCTACAGAAGATGAATGTTTTTAGGCATAGTTGTTTACTTTGTGTCCTCTAGCAGTTGAAATTTTTAGATTGAATATGCTCATAATGGTTTTAATACTCATATGCATATATGATACATGGGAAGTAGTGAATATCCACAAATCATGCTGTGGTTACCAAAGTTACTAGAAATGTAAACTGAACTAGTTAGCTCTGTTGTTTTGGTTACCTTGATCGT